AAAAGAACTAACGAAGCGACTTATCCATTTTATCCATAGTTACAAGAAAAGTTGCTATAAAATAAAAAAAAAACAATAGAATCGACATACTATTACTTATTTTCTCGGCTTCATTAAGATGGCGCGTAGTAAAAGAAAGAAAAAAATGGCGTCGTGAAAAAAATGGCATCTGCCAAAAAACCGGATCACCTGAAAACCTGCTGAGAAAAAGTGTTAGTCGACAGTAAAAAAAAAAAAAAAAAAAAAAAAAAGGCAGCAGAAAAAAAAACTCAGAAAAAGTTACTTATCTAAGAACCAAATCCTCATACAATGCCAAGTCTATAATGCTATAATGCTAAACCCACAAGAAATAAATATATTAGTTCACAATAAAAAAAGAGTATTGCAAAAGAAAAGTTACTAAATTAAATATCGAAGACCATTTAATTCCAAGTCGAAGAAGCTAACCCTACAAAAAAAAATAATAATTCACAATAATAAAAAAAAAGAGGAATACAAAGCAACTATTTATCTAAATATCGAAGCCTGCTCAATTCCACCATTCCACGTCGAAGAAGCTAGCTAGCGTCCCGTTCAATTCCAAGTCGAAGAAGCTACAAGAAAAAAGAATATTAGTTCACAATAAAAAAAAAAAAAAAATACAACACTAAATACTTATCTAAATATTGAAGCCAGCTCAATTCCAAAATTCCACGTCGAAGAAGCTATCATCCTGTTCAATTCCAAGTCAGAAAAAAGAATATTAGTTCACAATAAAAAAAAAAAAATGATACCACAAAAGAAAAGCTATTACTTATCTAAATATCGAAGCCCGTTCAATCCCAAGTCGATGAAGCCAAACCCTACAAGAGCAAAGTGAAATGTATGAATTTATAAAACAACAAAAAACTTTTACAACTCAAGCATATTCTCATAAAAAACAATGATTTTATGTAAGTATTAATTATACATTGTATATACAGTATATACATATTTTAATTAACTTATAATTTTTTTTTTATAGAAAATTATTCGTAAAGCCATTCGTGAAAAAATGGATACTACTAAATATCCATCTAGTGAACAACTAGAAATTATATCAAAAGTAGCTCTTGAAACACATAATAAAGGCCAATTAGAAGCTGTTCTTACAAACCTTTCATGGAAACATTTATGAAATAATAGTATCGCACCAGCTGTAAGTTTTTAATTATATTATATAGTACTTAATTTTTTATATTATTACTTACATATTTTTATTAGGTAAAAGAAATTGTCCGGGAATATAGAAGTGAAATAAAAAGCAAAGTAAAAAAGGCATTAGGAGAAGTGTTTGGCAAAGATCGATTTCCACCAATTGAGCAAGCACGTCCATCAGCTAATCAAGTAAATATGTGGAAACGTCAAGATACAATTTGATCATGTTTTAAAGATTTAGAAAATTCAAAAGATCCTGAAAATCCTGATTTTACTTGGCGGCTAGCTGTTCTTGAGCAAATTTATCCAGGAGAAACAACAAAAAATAATATCGCATTTGCATGTGTATGTATTGATGTTATTTGTAATGCTGAATACTCCGGGTATAAATTACGACAAGATTATGTTATCCAAGAAATGAATGCCGCTCTTGAGGGGATAGAATCGAATAAATTAGAAACATATGAATCTGATACTAATTATTTCGAAGGGGAAGAGGAATAACTATCCTTTATTATTTTATTATAATGTGATTATGACATAAATCTAAATTCTATATTCCTGTATAATTTAATATATATTTTACAGTACATTGCATATACTATATATGCAGTTTGCATTAATTTATTTCGCTAATACGTATATTGCTCTTCGATAAAAAATTTGATCATAAAATCAAAAAATGAACTCGAAAATAGAGGTTTGGTTCTGGGCTAAATTATCTAAAGTATTTTCTATACTACTATATTAATTATCCTGGCCAACCCCATCTATATAAATTTGTTAATGCATAAAACGAAGATTCTACTCTAAATAAATACATAAAAGTTATGTAGATTGCAAGAAATCAATTACGTATAAGAAAAATTTTGGCAGCAAAGTATAAACGGCTAATTACATGCCCGATTATACTTGCTGCAAAATTCCAACTGCCCGGGAAATAACTATTACTAATTACTCGACTCGAAAGTTAGGTTTCAATATCGATATACTGTACGTTTCGCAGTTTCAACCTTAGATCAGGATTTTATCACGTGTTATAAGATAAACTATTTATAAGATCAAATCTTAGATCTTTGCTTTTTGAGCAGTGTTTGATTTGGACATATAAAATTTTATTTGGACAAATTTGGACATATAAAATTTTGGATAAATGTATAAGTCGCACCCTGCGATGTTCTTATACATCGCATGTATATACAAATTAGAAATTGTTGACTTAAA